GTGGTAACTGAATTCCCCTGGGCTGTAGCCAGCTCCACACATCAATTCAAAAGGAGTGGACTGATTCACAATAGAAAAACAAGTGATCCAACAAGCAAACCCTAACTCTAATTTTGAACATTTCATTAGCATTTTTAATTCCTCTGTTTGTGCAATCTTTTCTTGATTTTTTAATTTTATTTATTTATGTATTTTTTCAGTGAAGCTGTCAGACTGCAGAGAAGCTTCAGACTGAATTTTGGCTGGATTTAATTCTGAGGTTAAAAGTTAAAGTTCGGCTGGAACTGTCGTTTTCTCTGTCTTACACAGCCTTTGCTTCATTAGATCAGTAGATTCATTGACATGGAGATGTTGAATCAAGACCGCTTTGTTTATTTTAAATCAGGCATACAAAAGGCTAAAAGGTGACAATAACAGGACAGAAAACACAGTAGGCCCTTTGTGTTGTTCCTGAGGTTACAGATTTAACATCTAGTTTGTTTTCTTTAATGAAAGTCACAAGATGGGTTCAGTATGGGAAAGATGAACTTTTATAGGCAAGCACATAGACCATGATTATTAGATCTGTTTCTTATGAAGTCAAAAGACACTAAAGAATACATTTGCCAAGATAATACATTCTTCTTCTTGTTTTTCTTCTTCTTCTTCTTCTAATTATACAAGGTTAAAGATTCCATGAGTATGTGAACACCTGTAACCGTGTGATGACAATAATCATGCCACAGGAAAAAAGAGTGCACACTTTAATTTGAATTTAAGAGTTCAGATCACACCTTTACAGCAGGTAAACATCTGAAGGAGCATGTGGGACAGATGTGCTCCCTCAGACAGCACATGACAGGACACAGCTGACAGCTGATTCTCCCACACTCAGGCATCCAATCAGAGCTTACATAATAAATCAATAATCAAGAGTGATCGACTCTCATATGGATCATATCAGTGTGGAGCCCTCTTTCTTCAGCTCCACCTGCTTGCAGTGGAAAAACCAGCTTGGTCAAACTCTTTATTTTGTAACATTTTTGTGGTCTTAAAACAGTATTTCTAAACGGGGATTGAACCACGAGCCTGTTTTCTCCTCTGTGCTTTGATGTGCTGACTGAAGACTCGTCCTGCTGTTCATTAAACAGCAGGAAGCCTGATCTTTCTTATAAGGATATAGGGATAAGCACTATATCTTTCTATTTAAGATATAGACAGATATATGTAAACATACATCTGTGTGTTTGATGTCCAGTGTTTATGATTATTCTGGTAAAACGCTGCAGGATTATAAAGAGGATATATTTAAAATAAAGAAATCACTTGTATTATAATCAGTCCAGAGCTTCCTGCCATTTAACCCTCCTCTCAGGGCTGCTGAGTTGTATTTGACTCTCTCTCAGATATTCATTAAAAACAGATTTTAGCCTCAGAATGAAGACATACCATCGCTGACACAGATTGTTTGACAGATGTTTGACAGATTATGGGTCAATAACTCTTCTTCTTCAGTTTCTGGGGGGAACTCCACTCGGACGGCACCTCTGAGGAACTTCCGCCCTCCATTTGACGTGCGCATGCTCCGCCCTGCTACTTCCTCTTTTACTGTGGCAGTGAGCGAGAGGCACCATGAAGGCGTCCGGCACAGTACGTAAACCCTAAATTTACACTTTTTCACTCTTTACACGCGGCTTCTAACAGCACATTTAATAAAATAACGTCTACTTTGAGGGGCTCGTGCTGAGCTATTGCCATAAAGTGCGACTTAAAGCGGCAATTTGAGTCTTTTCACCCCGGTGTGTTCGCGTCTACAACATGGCGTCAGCACCATGTGGACTGGGCTCAAACTGAGGGCTGCAGCCGGAGAGAGTGCGATCTCTCACGGCTTCACTGAGAAAATGAGCTCGGCTTGAGGTGTGGACAGCGGTCCAGCAGTAGCACTGATCATATTTAATCTGATTTAATTTCAGCGCAGCTTGATTTGCGCTAGTAGAAGCTAACGTTAGCAGCTAATGTGAGTTCATCTCTAACCCGAGCTATCGGCGTGCTTTTTAACCAGGCACAGTGAGGCGGTTTTTTAGTAGGAACTGTAGTTTTTTTTTTTATCATTGTTTTATAAATATTGGGACTTTATGAAGCTTTTTTTAAAAGGCTTAAATAGTTTTTTTTTTTTTTTTTTTTTAGAATCGCTGCTTTTTCAAAGCGAGTGCGGTCAGTGATTGAGTACCGTAAAAACTCCTCCAGCTCACAGCAGTTATTCTCCACTGTAGGTCAGAACTGGAGTTGATATAAAGTGTTCAGAAACAGACACAAAGGCTTGGCAGCACAAACTGAAACACGGACTCAATGAACTGCCTTTAATCCGTATAGAAAGCACTGAATGGAGCGGCTGCAGAACCTCTTTAAAAAAAAGCGCAATTTAAGGTTTTCTCCAGATACTGAGTAATTCAGTGGCAGGTGTGCACACCTGTGGTGGTGATAGAAATAGGAAATGCTAAGAAAGATTTCGGCTAATGACAGCAAAAAAAAACCAACCTAACACCGAGGAAGTATAAGATAAAAGGAAACAGTTATGGATTCTTGTTTTTAATAGAAAAACACAAAAAATTTAGAGGATTGTGTTATTTGTAGTTTAAAATATAATTCTTCAAAAAAAGTTTTAAGATATCAATAAAACTGAAGTCATTTTAAAGTTTTGTTTTTGTTTTTTTTTTTTTTATCCAAAATGTCACTACACACACCTCAGATCCGTCAGTTTAATGATAATTTAATCATGTTTGAGTGTTTGCAGTACGAAAATGAAACTGTTATTTTATTATTAGTTTGTTTTTGGTGATGT